TACTTCACTCATGTCTTCATGCGTAATTTTCTGTTTGCTGGCATCTACCCTCTGACTTTCCAATAATGTCTGTCTTTGTTTAGCTTCCTTTTAAAAATGTGGAAAATCTCAAAAGAAATCTGAGGAACCAGAAACTGGAATAGCATGTTGATTGTACAGCATGCTGTCAAAAAACTTGTGAAAATGAGTACAAATGTAGAAAGAAATAAAGTGAAGGATATCCGTTTCAGATATGGAGTTCTTTCCTTGTTAAGCCATGTTCAAAGAGTGAACACCAACATCAGGAAGTATTACATCCATTTAATTTCAGAACAAGGCTTTTCTTAGATATTTTTATGCTCAGAAAGAGTGAAGTCCATCTTGGCTTGCTTTGTTTTGCCTCTTTCCAGTGGTGTCTGGAACAGCTTGTCTAGATTTGAATAGCAGTAATATCTGCATTGGGATAGTGCTATTTTTATACATGTAAAATGTCTCATTTTCACATATGGGTACAGCCTGCTTCCTGGGAATCATTAAAGGTTTCTGGGAAGTTAGAAGGGGAGTTAAATAAAATATAAGTAATAGCTCCACATCTTCATTTGGATGTGTTTAGTGGGACTGAAACATGGGCCTTCTGTCACATTCTTCTAATCTAGAATATCATAAGTGTGCGCTTACAATGTTCTTGACTTCAGAATGTCACAGTTCCCACACAATATTTTGGCTTTTTAATACTCTTCAGTTAAATCTTTGCTTTTCTTCTGAATTCAAATTCCAGATATACCTAAAGAGCGGAGATGATAGGTTTTGTTTCCTCACAGAAAGCAGGCTAAGTTGTTTTCAAATCAACATGTGCATTTTCTGAAGAATCATACCTTAAGGAACATGGCTGAATTTGATGATAACTGAATGTTATAATCCTATCTATCACTCATTTATGTTAAATTCACTTCCAGTTATGCCTATGCAACTGTTGACTTTTGGTTCCCCAATCCTGATTTCTGGGTTCCAATGCCCTCACTTTGTTTCACAAGGTAGAAGAGAAGTATCTGACTAAGGTAAAGGTAAAGGTTGTCCCTGGACATCAAGTCCAGTCATGTCCAACTCTGGGGATTGATGCTCATCTCCATTTCTAAGCCAAAGAGCTGGCGTTGTCCATAGAAGCTTCCAAGGTCATGTGGCCGACATGACTGCATGGAGCACTGTTACCTTCCCGCCAAAGTGGTACCTATTGATCCACTCACATTTGCATGTTTTCAAAATGCTAGGTTGGCAGAAGCTGGGGCTGACAGCGGAAGCTTATGCTGCTCTCTGGATTCGAACCTGCAACCTTTCAGACAACAAGCTCAGCAGCTCAGCAGTGAACGGGAGATCTACTGCTACACTACTGCTGAGTTGCAAGCACATTAGTTACCTGCTGTTGCTATTTACTTTTTGAGGGTAATGGGGGTATAACTACATTACACTGAAAAACAACGTAATGAGTAAGGATAACTTTTCCCCTCGATATTACAATGAATACTGGCTCCTAGTTATTTTTGAAAGCTTCTTTTATGAGGCATCTAAAAGTATTTTGACTAAAATATGCCATTTTTACTATTGTGTCTAACATTTAAAAATGTAACACAGTAATGGCAAGTTAAATAGGTAATACAAATTGTGCCATTCCAATGAGTAACCAGGTGACTCCTCAAACTCAATGAATGAAGGTAACAAATATGAAGGTGGGTCAAAAGGTTTTGCTTCCTGTGTCATAAAAACATTATGAATGAACATATAACAACAGAAGTTGCAACAGATCATAGCCTGAACTATACTCTACTCAAAACTACCGTTCAACATAATCACCATCAATTTGTACACATTTGTGCCATTGTTTAACCCAGACATCAAAGCCATTTTGGATAAATTCAGGGTTTTGCTTCATGACCCATGATTTTAAAGCTTTTTAAATGTCTTTTATGTAATTGAATTTGAAACCACGTAGGTTGTCTTTTTGGACCTATGAAAGACAATATATGTGGTTTCAGATTCAATGACTTGAATGACATTAAAATAGCTTTAAAATCATGGGTCATGAAACAAAACCCTGAATTTTTCCAAAATGGATTTGATGCCTGGGTTTATTGATGGCACAAATGTGTACAAACTGATGGTGACTATGTTCAATGGTAGCTTTGCGTAGAGGATAGTTCAGGCTATGATCTGTAGCAACTTCTGCTGTTATATGTTCATTTATAATGTTTTTATGACAGAGGAGGCAAAACTTTTTGACCTGCTCTCGTACTTTCCAACCTGACAGGTGGATCTCTAGGTGGATGGAACTAGATCAACATGGATTTCTAACTCCAAAATTTCTTAATTGTGGAAACAGCAATTGGGAATTAGAAATCTATGTTGATCTACTTCCAGTTCTGTCTTACTAACCTACACTGAGAACAACCAAGAATGAAGTTGTTTGAGTTCAAGCCAGAGTTCATACTGAGTCCCCTTGGCATAGAATATCAACATAGATATCATGCTCTTTAGTTCTAAATGTAGTTCTTTTGTATTTTGCTCTAGTTTCCAGATCTTAAGGTTTTGGTAAAAAAAAAATGTCAATTTGATAGGTCAGAGATTTGCTAAACCCTCCCGTACAAGAACTTCATTTATTCTGTACGTGCTGTGTTTAAACAGGCAAAGGTAAAACATGGGGATTGCATAAACAATCACTGGTTTAAAAATGATTTCATTCTTACGATATTCAAGTAATACTCATTTGAATGGTTTGTGATTTTTCCAGTTCTTTCATTTCTTTCAGTTTTTGTTTACTTTTGTTCCTGGACTTTTTCATCTTGTTTTTCTGTGCATTGTGAAGTGAAAACACTCAAATATGATCCAGTGCTTATGTGTATCAGTGGCAGATGGCAAATTGTTCTCTCTTCAACTCTGGAAACGGACATTCTCAGAAAAGCTAGAGAAGCCAGTAATTGATTCTTTGTCATGCAATGACGACATGCGCTTGCCGGCTTTGTAGAAGAACAGAAATGGAAAAGCATAAAGAATGGACAGCAGATGTACAGGCCATTCCAGAGCTTGGCAAGTGAGTCCTAAAAATGTAATTTGTTAAATAATTACAACATTCAGATGCATTTTTAATTTGCTGTTTAGTAACACTATTCTTTTTAACCACTTGTCTGCACACATTTATTTTGGTGGCAGAGAGGGAACCTTAGAATCAATAGACTTCTGCTAAAATGTTCTCATAACAACCTTTAAAAACTTTCTAATGTAATTATAAACATTTACTTGTCATACCAACAGGTTATCATGTATATCATTTGGCCCACTGCTTTTGAAATATAAGTTAACTATAACCTAATTACAGGCAACATTATCCATTACTACTAGACCCTAGTCCACTCCACATATAAGATGCTTGTAAGCAAAGCCTAAATCAGGTAAAATAAAGACGCACATTTTTCATAGCTGGCAAAAAAGCTAGCAGCCCAATATCACACCCTGTTGAGTTACGCTGAAGCACAGTATTCAGCACTCAATGTGAATAGAAGGAAGCAGAATATTTTGTCCCTTTGCTCAAATATTGCAAGTGGAGTCCAACTAAAACATTTATTTATTTATTTATTTATTTATTTTTATTTATTGCAATTTATTTAAATATTGCAAGTGGGCTCCAACTAAAACAATGTCCTGCTACAATGAAAAACATATAGCTGATGTTAATAAATCCACATTCCCTTATAGTTGATTTTCTGGTGAAAATCAGAATCCTGGTTTTTATCGATCCATCCATAGTGTCTGAAGTGGAATTTAACCAAAGCACTAAATTATGACTACTCCCCAAAACAAAAGCTAACCGTGCCCAAATGACAATAAGCTAGAAGTCTGCTCCTCAAATGACATCTGCCTCTTATATTGGATTAGAAATACTTGATACATTAGTTTGGTCTGTGCTTGTGCTCCATGAATTTCTCCCATGCGTTCTCAAATTTCAGCTCTTATTGCCCTTCAGGTACTTGCACTACAGAACCATTTAAAACATACTTTGTGGTTCCCAACTAAAATATGGTTCGTGGCCTCACCATTACTACTACCATTGCAATGAGAGCGACTGGTCTCACAAAACCCTCTTATAGTGCTGAGGCATATTAAATATGGTTTTCTGTGGGTGAACAGATGGTGACTACTGGATGGCATATGTTCTGTATCAGAAAGTAGAGCTGATGTGCTCTATCCAATGCACTTTTCTGAATTAGTACCCCAAATAACCAAACTGATCTAGAGTTGACCAAAAACTGATTTGTAACCCTTTGGTACTAATGTTGGAGAGTGGTCTTTGGACAAGGTAGTCCCTGGTCAAAATAGTCCCTGATCAAGTGATCCCTGGTCAAAGTGGTCCCTGGCCAAAAATGTTAGGAACCACTGATACAAACACATAACCCACAGGGAATCTTAATAGATTACCCCCTCCACACACACACACACACACACACCAGAAAACAGGTAAGTGAAATGTTCTGGAAGAGCATTTAAACTAATCATATGCTGCATCATATATTTGAGCACTATATGTGTGTGTGTATGTATACACTGTATATAGAATAGCATAGCATAATAACGTTTTGTGTATTGTCTGGCCCAGAGTGTCCAAGTGTTTTCCATCATAGAGAAGAAAAGGCAGGACTGTTCTCTGCTGCCCCAGAGGATAGCACCAGATCTAATGGTTTGGAGTTACAGTAGGGTAGATTTCAGCTGAACAACAAAAGGAACTTTTTTATACTAATAGCTGTTTGGAAATAAAGCCAATTATCTAGAGCTTTGGTGGGGTCTAATTCTTTAAACATCTTCAAAAAATGGCCACAGAGCTATTGCTGGGGATGCTTTAGCTGGAGATCCTCTATTTCACTCAGCAGGGGGTTGGACTCAATAGCCCATTCTGACTCAATGATCCTACAATTCTATAACTTCAGCATATTATTCCATAAAATTATGTACAAACCTCCCCTACCCTTCTCTGATACCTTTATAGTTTCGCTAGGAACTCCAGGCTCTGGTACTTTATTCAAGTAAGTGGTCAAATCTTGATCAACATGTTCAAACACCAATGTTAACTTCGTCTCTCTTTCTGTTCGGGACACTGTACATACATCAAACAACCTAAGAAGGGGGAAAAAAAAGAAACGTTAAATAATAAATCGATGAACACACAATCAGATAAGTAATTGGAAGTCACAACTAAGTGTGTATCATTGCTCATTGTGGAATGTGAAATGCACAATTAGGCTTAATTCAAGTGTAGATGAAACTGTTCATCAGGTGAGAAGTGATTAGTGAGGCCAAAATTCCTAAATCTATAATTTGCTTTCCAAACAACTTTTTTGGGGCAGGGTTTCTGGCTAAGGGATAGGCAAAACGAGGGTATTGTCCACCCAAAATCATTTTTTTCTTTCACTTAAAACTTAAGTTGAGCATTTAGAACTGCAGTTTAGGAAACCAAAAGGAAAAAAAAGGAGACAATTACAAAAGGAATGTTAACAAAGCAAATAGAAGGATTCCAAGTACAAATGATTTCTAGTATATCACAAACTACTAAAAATTTGAAGACACAAAGACACAATGAAACTTCCCTTTGAGGGGGCAGAGTTCTTATTTCAGGGAATGCCCAATTCACTACCTGTATTTACATCTTTCAGTATGTTCCAGAGAATGAGCTTTTCCTGTATGGCAGGGGGGTTGAACTAGATGACCCATGTGGTCTCTTCCTACTTTATTATTCTATGAATCTATGAATAACACATTTGAATTGCATATTTATTTTATTTCATTTACAAACATTATCCACACCACATGAGATGTTTCTGAAATCCTGTCTATTGAAAAACAGTTTGTGTTGCGGTGTTAATAGTTATCAAAAGCCACCCCTCACCCCACCACGAAAGCAGAGATCCCAATATATGGCTATAATTCTCTAGATTGAAAGCAACTGGCAAAACCACCTCTTGAGTATTGCTTGCTTAAGAAAACTATGAAATTCATGGTGTCACCAAAAGTCAACAGGTAACTTGAAGGTACTTTGCATGCGATTTTCCTGCTTCTAGGCAGGAGGTTGGACTGGATGGCCCACGAGGTCTCTTCCAACTCAAGGATTCTATGATTGGTACATAGCAATTGTAGTCTCCACTGTCTACTACCTATTATCAGCTATGAGCTCTCTCTCTTGGAGATACCATCTACCTATAGTAGATAAGCTGAATATAATTTAATATCAGACAGGTCACAGTACAGTTACCAAACATGCCTTTGTCTAGAACTTTTTCATCTTCAAATATCAAAGAAGTTTACAAATTGAGCAAGAACTAATACTGTGAAGAACAAAGTACTGAACCTACCTATAAGTGGAAAGAAAGCATTCTTGCATTTAAGATACTTATCTGCAGTCTCAGAGATTTTCATGGTCTCAGTAGAGAAATCACAATAAACTCTGAGTTGAATAGGACTTGACCTTACAAACTTCATAAAAAATAATTTTCAAGGTAAAGAAAGGTTAAGAAAAACTTCAGATAAAAATGCTTTTTATATAGAGAAATCTCCTGGGAAACATAAAAATACTTCATTAAAAAGTAGTATTATTTTGTACATAGTGGTAAATTCTCAAAGGCTGTACTCAGATGCCTGAAAGAGCTCATTGTAGACCAAGGGTTACATGATTCCAACTTCTGCTGTATTTATACCCATGAATGTAAATTTACCCAGTATCATTCATGGGCATCACTTAGAAACTGGTTAGTTGTGGTATTACAATGTAAAGATCTAATTCACAAGAGATGGGCTCCTCTGTCTCATTAACCTATATTTGTACATATTAGGAACTTATATTAGATTTAGATTATATTAGATTTTTTTTAGACCAAATACAGTTATTTGTATCAATCTTCCAAACTTCATCTCTTTTTCATGCAATGGTAACCTGTTTCGGGTTCAAGATAGGAATTCAGTAGCATTTTCACAGCAGAAACTTCTCACATTCAACAGTCTTAATTTTCTCTAGTTTAAACATGGCTGCATTACTTTGACAATAACACGTTCACTTTATATTAGTGATTGGCTACCATTAAATACTCTGATATTTGACAGTGGTTTAATATATGAAACATCTTCATATAAATCATTTATTCCAGTTTGCTCACATGAAGGAGGCAGGCAGGTCCAAAACCTGAACATAAACACTGGAAAATATTTCCAACTGTATGTTTCTGTTGAACAACATTTACTTAATTTTAAAACATTTTTGCCAACTATTTAATACATTGGCAATGTTGCTAAATGCAATACTTTTTAAAAGACTCCACTGTGCAAAATGTGAACATCAGTATTCTGCACACTTCTCTCAATGTGCAATAAAATGCTTAATACAGTTAGGTTTTTCTGAACTGAATGGTTTTACACGGACTACTATTCCTATTATTTTGTAGAGGTGATATTCTTGTTTCCTTTCGCTCTTTTATTACATATTCTGCTTAATGACATAATACTGTAAATTTCCTTAATCAGCATAAAACCGGGAGGGCAGTATAGTGCTTTAGAACACATGAAATGCAAAGATATGTGGTAGATTCAAATAAAAAAAAAGCTTGGCTTTTAAATATAATTATATTTTAATATAAACCATTGGCCTACCAACACAAACAAAAGACTTTGAAACAGTTGAAAACCAACTTACTAATGCCGAAAGACCTCTCCAGCTACTACAAAGATACTGCCCGAAGCCTAACCCTGCCAAGACACAAGTATGTGCTTTCCATTTACGTAATCGTGAAGCCAACAGGAAAATGAAGGTTACCTGGGAAGGCCAAGAGCTTGAACACTGCTCCCAACCTAAATATCTCAGCATCACCTTAGATCAAACACTAAAATTTAGGACACACTGTGCGAACACCAAGAACAAAGTAGTAACATCCTGTGGAAACTTACTAATAGCACATGGGATGCAGACCCAAAATTAATAAGAACATCAGCCCTGGCCTCGTCTTACTCAACTGTGGAGTATGCCTGCCCCGTCTGGCATAAATCTGCCCATGCGAAGCAGGTGAACATTGCACTGAATGAGACATGTAGAATAATCACAGGATGTCTTAAACTGACACCTATAAGCTAGCTGGCATTGCCCCCCACCCCCAATGTGCAACGGGAAGTTGCTGCCAATTGGGAGAGAAATAAGGTTGTGAAAGCCACCCACTGTATGGCTATCAGCCTCCTCCTAGTAGACTTAAATCAAGGAAAAGTTTCATGAGAACCATCTCTCCTCTAATTGTCCTTCCAGCAACAAAAAGAATATCCCTGTGGGCATCAAAACCACGCAATTCCAACTGGATGGCCCCCTATGAGAGTCTTCCAGGGACAAACCAAGAATGGGCAACTTGGAAGTCCCTGAACAAACTCAGAAGTGGAGTTGCCAGATCAAAAGACAACCTGACAAAATGGCACTACCTAGAACAGGGGTTCTCAAACTAAGGCCCGGGGGCCGAATACGGCCCTCCAAGGTCATTTACCTGGCCCTCGCTCAGGTTCAACCTAAGTCTGAAACGACTTGAAAGCACACAACAACAACAGCAATCCTATCTCATCAATGGGAAGCAGGCCCACACTTCCAATTGAAATACTAATATGTTTATATTTGTTAAAATTGTTCTCCATTTTAATTATTGTATTTGTGTTTTTGCACTACAAATAAGATATGTGCATAGGAATTAATTCATATTTTTTCCCAAATTATAATCCGGCCCTCCAACAGTTTGAGGACTGTGGCCTGGCCCTCTATATAAAAAGTTTGAGGACCCCTGACCTAGAAGAATCCTCCACTTTGTGCGACTGTGGAGTAGAACAAACAACTCAGCCTCTGTAAGCTTGCCCACAACGCCCTGCCTCATGCACAGAAAAAGAACTGTTTAAAGCTACAGGCAATGCAGTTGCTGTTATCCGTTTTTGGTCTAAAACTGTTTTGCTACTTGTGATCCCTTTATTTTATCAGTTTTAAACATTTATTTATGTAATGCTTTTGACACAAAATAAATAAATATCAACAATATCTGTTTGTTTTAGGAGTATTAATTTACATTGATACCTAGCTATATTATGGAGAATTTATTCTGGAGAATATAAAAACAATTTATTTGTGGTTGGGTAATTTTTGAGAGTTGGGATGCCTTCCTCCCTATTGAATAGAGGATAGTACTGAGTGCTTGTTTTGGAGTTTGGTGGACACGGCAGTCTAATAACCCAACGGCCCGATCTACCAAGCAGTGTAAGACCCATTTCGACTGGAATTGGGTTATCTCGAAAGTATGTTATCTCAATAAATTTTGCAATTCCTGTTTTTCCCCCCTAAAATTTCACACATCTCCATCCTCCTTCACCAGCTTTCCCATGTTGATGATGGAAATGGCATTAAAAAAAAACTTCCTAAAAAGAAGCTACTTTCTCTGAAGTTTGTTAACTGAGGTGTGCATGCATCTTGTCTTAGGCTACTATAAAAGTCTCAAGGAAAGTCTCCACCAAGTATTTCTGGAAGATACAGACAAGCGACCATGAGAAACTTCCTCCTGTTTGGAATAAGAGTTCTGTATTACAAACTGTATCCTTTCTCTATCTATGGCGAAAATCCTACAGATGTGTTTCCGTAACAGTTGCGTTCTATGTTAAAAATAAAGTTTAACTCAATAGTACACCTGGTTCCTTCTCTACTCCTCCTGCTGCTCTGATCATTTTTTATACTTACTATGCCTTTGTAACAAGCTAGAACATGTAGAAGTTTTATCTTTTGCAGATACAAAAGATTCACAAACTGAATGTTCTGCAAAAACAACCCACTTTGTGTTTCCATTATTTACAATGAAGAAAACACAACTTCTTGGCAAATGGGATGGACTGCCGTGCTGCGTTTCATACTGGAATACTTCATTTGGAATAGCATCCACTCCTCATTCCTCCTCTTCTCCTATCCTGCATGTTCTAACCATGCATGCTGGTTTCTTGCTTTGGTAGCACAAATCCTGGAAAGGTATGTGTGAAAAAGCCAGCACAAACTGAGATCACTTACTGTAACACTTCACAAACATGGAGGGCAGTTCCAGACATTGGAAAAGTCCACGCTGATTCAG